GAAAAATGAAATGCAACTTTATACCTTATACCTTCATTAGTAATGTTAATAGAGGTAAATATTTAAGCCATATACTTGTCCCTGGGTCTCTCAAAAAAAAACTGAAAAGTCTTCATATAAGTTTAAATGTTTAATATTTATAAATTTAAAAAATTTTACACATGCTGAATGGTAGCAATGCTAACACTTTGTGACGATTAAACTACAAACTCACTGCATGAGACTCCGTTCAGACAGCTGAATTGCAACACCAGTATTTGCAATGTGTCATAATTTTATGTGGTAGATGACACCAGAAAGCCTAGGTTCAGAACACTCTTGAGGTCAGGTCCATGTTAGATACATAGTACAGGTGATTTATTTAATTTCAGGCTAATAAAGTTAGCTAACAGTACATACCTGACAGCTCCTAATAGCTGAGACCTAAGCGTATAGACTGAAAGGAGAAGACTCTCCACTGCTAGGAGGTGAGGAGCGAATCCAGGGGGTGAGGACAAACCCGTGTGCATATAGCTCAGTCTTCAGACTTAGCTATGGAGTTAAAGTCAGAAACAGATCACTCCCCCAGTCCTCTAGAGCAGAATGGATGCTCATTATTAACTATGTGTCTTTACCTGAACCAAATATATTCTTTGGCTAAATATGTCATGAGTCTCCATTTTAATCTATCAGAATTACATATAAATTAAACTGTTTAAAGTTCAACTTGAGTTACGGCACTTCATATCAATTTGAGCTCAGAAAATAAACCTAATTTGGACTTTTTTAATTTTAGAAAATCAGTGTTTTCAGAACATAGTTATTACCAAGTCTGAGGATATCCACTTATATTTTAAAATAATTTAAAGCATTATATCCTCAAATCAGCTCTGTTATTTTATAGAAGAATTTATAAGAAGTTATATTAAAAACTTATATCCAAATCAATTCCTTATTCTCTAGTTAAGAAAAAAAAAAAAAAAAAAAAAAAAAGCCCTAAGAAGTATTGAGGTTCCTGCTGCCTTAACAGTTAATATTTCTTTCAGGATCCAATAAGGACAACTATCCATCAGAGACAACTAACCTAGTAAGGTCTAATGACAACCACCTCTAATGACAGACAGAGGTGGCAAACAGAAACAAGTAAAATTGTAATAGAAAAAATAGTATTTTAAGGGTTCAATTGACATGGTCTACTAGGATACTAAGATTTGAAATCAACAGCTAGTTCAATACTTGAGAGTTTCATACAAGTATTAACAGAAATGGTCAGAGCAGTTGGATTCGGGGTTAAGGGCACGTTCCTGGGCTGCAGGTTCAATACTCACCACGGTGGGATCACATGTGGGAGGCAACCAATCAATGTGTTTCTCACATTGATGTTTCTCTTCCCCGCACTCCCCAGCCCCCAACTCTTCCACTCTCTCTACTAAAGCAATGAAAGCCCTAACTGGTTTGGGTGAGTGGATAGAGCGTCAGCCTGCAGACTGAAAAGTCCCAGGTTCGATTCTGGTCAAGGGCATGTACATTCGTTGTAGGCACATCCCCAGTAGGAGGTGTGCAAAAGGCAGCTGATCAATGTCTCTCTCTCACTGATGTTTCAAGCTCTCTATCCCTCTCCCTTCCTACCTGTAAAAAATCAGTAATATATATATATTTTTAAAAAGCAATGAAAAAATATCATTTGGTTAAGATTAACAAAAAACAAAAAACAAAATAGTAAGGAGTGTTACTAGGGGAAGGTATTTTAGAGATGCTGGGTTTTGAAATGAAAATTGTGAAAAATAGTAACCATATCATTCTAACAGGATAATGTAATATAATTAGACACATGGCTTACAACGAAGTAAGACTGTTCTTAAAATTAGTTTGAAAAAGAATGCAAAGGTGCGTTTTTTTTTTATATAAAATGTCACACTTTCTACCAGACAAAACTCATTGCAGTGTTGTTAACATGCCTTGTTTTCCAACAGATTAAAAGACAGCAAGTAATAAAGACACAACTGTGAAGAGGACACTGAAGTACTGTTCTGGAAAAAACTAAAACAAGCAAGCAATCCTTGTAACAGAGCTACCAGGATGACAGGTGCTGTTATATGAATGCCAATTGTGAAAGTGCAAGTCCACAGAGACTGTGCCCTGGGAAACAAACTGGCCCAGGAAATAAAATCAGATACAGAATAAACTGAAAACTAGACATTAAAGGTAACTATATATGACCAGAAATTTCACACAAGACAAAATTCTAAATAAATATTTGACAATGTCCCTTTAACATATATAAAAAAAGGGAGCACAAATAATGTTCTTATTTTTAAAACACTTTGGACAACCATCAGTTTTAAAAGTAAAAATTAATTTACTAAAATTAAGTCAGTGTTCTTGATCCCCAGAGGGCAAAGAGCAAAACCTCTAAAAATGAAAAGTCAATAAACACAGCTAAAGACAAAACTGGACAAAATAAAATAAGGACTCAAACTAAACAAATATGTATACATCTAAAAAATTGATCATTTATACAATAGGATACTACGTGGCCATAAAAAGGCTTAAAAAAAAATATGACCTTTTGAGACAACATAGATGAATCTGAAGGTTAATATGCTAAATGAAATATGCTGGTCAGAGAAAGACAAGTACCATAGGATCTCACTTATATGTGGAACCCAATAAACAAAATAAACTGACCAACAAAATAGATCCAGAGACACAGATATATGAAACAGACTGACAGCTCTCAGAGGTGAGGGAGAATGGGAGGACTGGGTGAAAGAAGGTAAAGGGATTAGCCAAAACACATACCCATTAACACAGACGATATGGTCACAGTCAGAGGAAAGGGGGCACAGGGGCTAGGTGAGGTGTACAAAGGAGGGGGGGGTGAATGGGAATATCTGTAATAGTTTCAACAATAAAAATAAAGTTAAAAAAAGATGACCCAAATTAAACAAATACGAGTCAGAAAAACACATACACGAACACCATGGAAAAATGTCCAGCTGGTGTTGCCTCTTTTTTCCTGTTTGCTACTAATCACATTCTGGTGACATCTTAAGGCTTATTTGGTCCAATCCCAAGTACATATTCTTTAAAGTCGTCTAATTACAATGCAATATTATTGACAGCATCTAGGATAATTAAGCACATACATTTCCATCTAGATAGCAGTTATTGAATACAGATGCCTTTTTATTCCCAAGGCATCCCTTTTCTACTCATCTTTGTTTTTAAAAACTTGATTATAGTTTTGTTAAAGCCAGTGGACCTTTCTAGTCAGTTGCTGGTCCCAGTACCCTCTGGCAAAGGGACTACACTCATCACTCACAGATGGGCAAGGCTTACACCCTCTAAGCAGTGTGTGGAGCTGAGAGACCACACATCAAGAACAAGGCAAAATAGTGGTTCCTGGTACAGATGACTTCATGTTCATTAAGGGGAAATAAAGAAGAAATCTAAAAATTAACACATGGTTCAAAGTATTTTAAAAAATACAATATGCATATTGATAAACAGTGACATAATTTTTTCCTAGCTGTTTTTAAGATGCTTTGCTTCCCCTCTGCTATTACAAGATGATGATAACTAAGAGAAATAAATGGTCCTTGAAGTTCTGGCTCAAGGCTCTGCATTGGTGCATGACTAAGGTAGAATGCCAAGCTGGATATAACTTAGATGTTCCTGTTTTGGTAATTGTTAATAGCAGCTACACAAAGCGTCACTGTGAAGGTTCAGTGCTCAATGCAATCCCACCACATTCCAGGGACAGTTAGCACAGATGTGTCAGGAGCATAGCAGGACACCCTCCCTGTAAAGCAGAGTCACTGTGCCCTGTGACTGTGACAAGGCAGCGGGCAGTTTTACCTGCCTGTGGTTTCCATAATTTAAGGGGAGTCTGGTAGCAATACAAAATTTTCTCTTAAATTTACATGACTCCTATGAAACGAGAAAATACCCATTCCAGCATAATTATTTCTCCTGATGCCCCAATGTCTAAAATCTGCAGGAATCAGTCACTCCCATCCTCAGAGTAGAGTACTGTAGCAATGGATAGAAAGCTGGACAGAAACATATTCCAAGAGTTAGACTACATATGGATGAGCCTGTTTCATTCACAAACCCTCATGAATACACCACCAAAAGGGCACCACCAAGTTCAGAGTAGCTAACTTCCAAACCAACTCTGAGGCATCAAAACTGTTGGTTGTTTTGTTTTTTTTGTTTCTTCTTAAAATTAAGGCAATGGGATGGCTACAGTTCCTAAAGTTTATTTTATGGAACAAAAATATACATGCATTTTCCTCCTGAAGTTCAGGCACCAGAGTGTGACTAGAGGCCTGTACTCCACAAAACCTGCCCACCAACCCATTACAGCCCAGTGAGCAACCGCAGCGCCTTCCCCTCCTGCCAGACTCAAACTGAATCTCAGGGAGAAAAGCACCACAGCACAAAACCTCTTCCGAGTTTTCACAGTGATTCAAAACTTTTGGGTTGGCAGAGGGGAGGAGTTCATTAAAATGAAAAAACCCAGAGCCCATAAACAGAAATTCTGACAATGACGGCCTCCAGTTGGGTCCAGTTCCCCAGCGCTGCAGGTGCTCCACGGACGTTTGACATACATCACCGAACATAGCCACCTAATAGTTCATAACAAAACTTTCAAACTTTGGCTAGTTACCTAACGTTTGACAAAGAGGGAAAAGGCACTGAACATGATTTCATGGTGCCCTTATCTGTTTGCACATAGATGATATTTCATTTTGAAAATGTTAAATCACCATTCGAAACCTACAGAATACTTATGACCGACCGTGGAAACACCAAACAGCAGGCGCTGACTGAGGCTGAGCTCTCCTGTCTCACTGCACTCGTTACATGTCAAACTCTCCAAACCCCAACGGCCAGGAAACTGAGGGACAGGACAAGACTCAAGTCAACTTTTAGCAATTCAATGCACTTTGTAGAAAGGATCTAAATTAAGCATAGAGTTTTGTTCTTTATTTTACACAAAGGAGACCACCAACATTTGCCATAAATTCTTCCAAACTCTTTAGAAAAGCCATCTTCTGTTTCCGATCCAGCGTAGGAGGGGTGCTGCTTGCAGTGAGCTTGTTGAAGGCATCTGCTAATCTCTGGTAAATAACTGGGTCTTGTTGACTTGACAGTAATGTTTCAACCAATTCAGAGTACTCAGCCTATTGAAGAGATAAAGTGCATATAAGAACACATCTTTCTCAAACACGAGATAAGTAGGTCATATCAGTTACTGGATGGTGGGATTCTAAGAGGCAGGGTCTGCCAAGTCTTCTTCACAGTTAGCACATAATCTAGGTTCCATCCAGCCTTTGCCATTGCTAATTCACCTATTATAACAACTTTATGAGGCAAGTACTGTTTACATTCCTGTTTTAAAGGAAATTTACATAATAGTGAGATTACCTAATATATCCAAAATCATACTGTCTTTTAGCAAAAACCCAGACTGTTCAATTTCAGAAGCAATGTAATTACCAATTTCATTGTGTTGCCTTTTGTTTTCAAAGCACATTATTCATGGTTGTTTTACATTTTATATATAACCTAAGTCTGTAACTTTGTACATTTTCTGAGAGGTTCTATAGACACTATGTCCACGCAGTTCTGTAGACAGCAGGTCACACAAATGCAGGTGAAAAGTGGCAGAGTGGGAGAAGGGTATTTTGGTCTTTTCTCAAAGTGGAAGTAGAAAAACTGAACTGACTGTGCACATGCAGCTCAAACCAGCACTATGGCTCAGCAGCTCAGGGAAGAAGGAAGCAGGAGCTTAACAAATATAGGGGTATGTTATGTGTATCTTTTATATTGTTAGTGCCCTTCATATTATAACCTTATACAGAGGTGTGGGAAATGAAGGCAGGGCAGCTTTCTAAGATAAACTCTCTCTTTTTTTAAACCCTCACCTAAGGACATGTTTTCAGAGAGAAGAAGGGAGAAAAAGAGAGAGAAAAAAACATCAATGTGAGAGAGAAACATTGATTGGTTGCCTCCTGTCTTCGACCTGACCAGGGATCGAACCCAAAACCTGAGTATATGCCCTGACCATGAATTAACCCGCAACCTTTCTAATGTACGAGATGACACTCCAACTGAGCCACCCGGACGGTGCGATAAACTTTCTTGAAAAAAGCTGGTCTGCCACTATTTTTCATTAACTGCTTGGCATATCATGATGGACCAAAATGGTAAAACCATGTTAGTTACCACTGGAAAAGAAGAGTAGGGCATAGCACCCTACCACACCCACGATGGAGCCAGAAGGGCTGCCTTCACTGCCCGCCTCCCAGGGACAGGCTTGTTCACAGGAGAAGAAGAATAAACTCGAACCGTGTCCCAGCTAATGTGAACTGGCTGTTCCTGGGCCAAACAGCAGGACATCCTCCGCATCAGTCCCGGGCTCCTGTTCTCTGTCCTGCATGGATGAATGTTTTTTAAAAAGGCAACCAGGGCCCTGGACAGTTTGGCTCAGTGGACAGTGCTGACCCGCGAACTGAAGGGCCCGGTTTGGTGTTTGGTTCGGACCGAGGGCATCTACATCAGCTGCAGGCGTGATCCCCGGCCCGGTCGGAGCACACGCAGGCGGCGACAGGTTGAGTCTCTCACATTAATGTCTCTCTCGCTCCCCTTAGGTTCCAATCTCTCAATCAGTGGAAAAACATTCTCAGGAGAAAATTAACAACAACAAAAAAGGCAACCAGAATATAAGGACTTATACATTTTCCTAGTAAGAACAGGAAGTCAAATGACAGAAAGGCCCCTTACTGGGATGGGCATCATTTCAGGAAGTGAACTTATGAATACCTGCACAAACAATACCGAAGCCGGCCTAACGGTGGCCTTCAAGTACTTTGCCAACCACTATGAAATTCTATCTTTCTAAAAGAGAAAATAAATGCAGCCCCAAGGGGCCAGTCACAGCGGATGCTATGGCCTCTATGCTTTAAAAATTAAGAAATTAAAAAAAAATTTTTGATTGATTTTTAGAGAGGAAGGGAGAGGGAGAGAGAAACATCGATGTGAAAGTGAAACATCGATCTGCTGCCTCCTGCATGACCCCTACCAGGAATTGAGCAGACATGTGCCCTGACCAGGAATTGAACCAATAACCTTTCAGTTCATGGGACAATGCTCAACCAACTGAGCCACAATGGCCATGGTGGCCTCTACACTTTAAAAAAAAAAAGTCTTAGTGAACTGCTGGTTTGGTTCAGTGGTTGACCACTTACCTATGAACCAGATCACGGTTCAATTCCCGGTCAGGGCACATGCCCAGGTTTCGGGATCTATCCCTAGTGTGGGGTGTGCAGGAGGCAGCCAATCAATGATTCTCTCTCATCACTGATATTCTCTCTCTCCCTCTCCCCCTCCCTCCCTCCCTCCCTCCCTCCCTCCCTCCCTCCCTCCCTCCCTCCCTCCCTCCCTCCCTCTCTCTCTCTCTCCCTCTCTGAAATCAATAAAAATGTATTTTATAATGTCTTCGTTCCTCTAGCCAATCACTTGGTCTTGCTGGGACATGTGTGAAGAAGCGGGGTAGGGGATAGGTTTTGGGAAACAGATTCTTCACATACACTTGATGGGCATGTACAATAAGGAAGGGAGATGGGTGAGCCAGCATAACTTTTCTTCTTCTGTTATACTGGCCCCACATCAGTGACTGCTTCAATCTTTAAAGACTCAAAGAATTAGGGAGAGTGAGGGAGGTGAAGGTAAGGGAAGAACACTTTCCATATTGTAGTATGGAATAAATACTGTTGTTTCTCGGCTCTCTGAAGACAGTCTCTTCTGGGTGCCCGTCTCTTTCATCTTGTTTTTCTTATAAAACTGAGTTCCTCAAGGACAGAAGCACATCTCCATTATCCTCTCAAATCTGACTCCTGGTTCCTAGCAATTGTGTAAGGATAAGCTTTAGGGCAAAGGATGGATTATAACAATGCAGAAGGGGTAATAAATGCTTATTAACTGATAAACAGCTTACCTAATTAAAAAAAGCCAGAGCTAATGAGGAGGTTAAGAAACAGGACTGCACTGCAACAGAACTGCAGCCCTGAGTCAGAGATCCCCTAAGATCTGTAGAGTCAACACCCACCGTGGATCTGAATCATCTCCTTCTAAAAGACAGCGCCCAAAGGAGCTGCGGCCGTACCTGGTGCAGGCACACCAACGTGTAGAACGCCTCACCGGCTGCTGTCGTCATCTCAGTGTTGTGCTTCTGCAGAACCAGCATATCAAAAACCAGCTGAAAGTGCACAAGGAAACCGCTAAATAAAGACACACAACACAAAAATCACACAGTCCTCCAGCTCCTCCCTGCTCCAAAAAAGAAAGAGGATGGAATGAGAGGGCAGGGCGGGGTGAGAGAGGGCAGGGCTGGGCGAGAGGGCAAGCCGGGTGAGAGGGCAGGGCGAGGTGAGAGGGCAGGGTGGGGTGGGTCCAGCTTCTGGTAACTGGACCCTAGGTCTAACCCAACCAATCAGGTCAGCCAAGGTAGCAGCACCACCCTCCCTATAAAACCCATTGATATGTTAAGTTCTTCCTCTTTCTCGCCATGCCCTCCTTCGTGTAAGTGGGACTGAGCTCGGACTAGTCTGAAATAAATACAGGCTTTCTGCAACTGCATCGGATTCGGCTCCCTGGTAGTCTTTGGGGTTTATGACACTTGGGCATAACAGAGATGGCTTGTGATCAATAAATATATCTGAACATTAAAGAAAGTATTTTTTTTAATATATTTTATTATTTTGTACAGAGAGGAAGGGAGAGAGATAGAGAGTTAGAAACATTGATGAGAGAGAGAGTCATCGACCAGCTGCCTCTTGCACACCCCCTACTGGGGATATGCCTGCAACCAAGGTATAATACATGCCCTTGACCAGAATCGAACCCGGGACCTTTCAGTCCCCAAGCCGACGTTCTATCCATTGAGCCAAACCGGTCTCGGCTAAAGAAAGTATTTTTTTAAGTAGGTTAAGATATGACGTAATTACCTCCTGTGGTATAATAATTAAATTATCCAATTACCCATTATATTTATATCAATTTTTAAGAAAACAGAAGTGGAGAGTTACATGTTCAGAAAGTGGATCTCCAGAAAACAATGAACAAAAAGTGACTATTAAAAGAACGTAAGCACTTCCTGATTTGAAAGATTTATGTGTATTGACAGTCCTTATCAAAGCAGGTGACCTCACAACCTACTATCCAAGCACCTTACCTTCAGAAAGTGCCGTGTCGCTAGAAACAGTGGTGAGTCCGTATCTTGAGCTTTTGCACACTGTTCAGCCAATGGTGTCAGGGCCTCCAGACACAGCTGGCAAACCTCCGAGCTCATTCTGATCATGAAGGTCAAAGAACAAATGCAAGTAGACTCACTTGACATATTAAAGACAAAAAATTACAGCTATTATCACATGGAGTGTATTTCTAGAAGTGAATGCAGGAAAGCTATAGCTGAACAATGTGTCTTCACTGAGCTAAGTGAGAGAAGACTCCCAAGGTTTTGAAGTGATCCACAAGTGTTTGGGGTCTGCGACTGAAGACTTCCAGCAAGTTTTTGATTATGAGGCACACATTGATAAAAGCCTTGCTATTTTCTGCCATCAGTTAGCTAAGATCAGACACTCAGCAACAGTATGTGAAATTATTTGGGAAGCCGGAGTCAAATGTCCCTAGAATCTGTGAAAGAAGAACTAACAACATCAAAATAAACACAGAATTAGGGCAGTTATAGAAATGGTGGCTTTTTTAAAGAAATAAAACTGAAATACAAAATAAAACAAAAAAAATTTAAAACTTCAGGTAAGATCTTCCCCCCATGTGAGAAGTGATAACAATGCCTATTTAAAGGATACGAAGTCATTCCCAGTTCTAGAGAGCACATCAGACTTTTAAAGAGGTCTTCAGGAAGTTGTGGTATTTTTTCAGGAAAAATCTCACAAATAAATGTAATTAATTTGTAGTATTGATTACAAAGTGTTGGAAACTAAAAAAGAAAAATTAAATATTTAGATGCTTAATGTTATCTCATTTTATTTTATTTAATACAAAAAAGTAACAATAACAGGTAAGCTTCTAAGTATAATGACTTTTTAATTGATGTTAGCACAAGAAAAGAATGGAGAGGGAGGGGGGATGGAGAGAGACAAAGAGAGACACAAACATTGATTTTAAAAAAAAATATATTTTATTGATTTTTCACAGAGAGGAAGGAAGAGGGATAGAGAGCTAGAAACGTCGATGAGAGAGAAACATTGACCAGCTGCCTCTTGCACACCCCCCACTGGGGATGCGCCCGCAACCACTGTACATGCCCTTGGCCGGAATCAAACCTGGGACCCTTCAGTCTGCAGACCGATGCTCTACCACTGAGCCAAACCGGCTTCGGCTTTTTTTTTTTTTTTTTTTTTCCCAAACATTGATTTTATATTCCATTTATTTATGCATTTGTTGGTTGATTCTTCTATGTGCCCTGACCAGGACTGAACCCAAAAGCCTGGTATATCGAGACTACTCTCTAACCAACCTGGCCAGTGCATAATTTTTTAAAAACACATATAAGATGCCTGGCCAGTGTGGCTCAGTGGTTGAACATCGACCTATAAATCAGGAAATCATGGTTAGATTGCCGGTCAGGGCACATGCCCGGGTTGCAGGCTCGATACTCAATGTGGGGCAGCCAATCAATGTTCTCTCATCATTTATGTTTCTATCTCTCTCCCTCTCCCTTCCTCTCTAAAATCAGCTAAAACATATTGATGGGGGGGAGAGGGGAGAGAGAGAGGGGGGGGGAGGGAGAGAGAGAGAGAGAGAGAGAGAGAGAGAGAGAGAGAGAGAGAGAGAGAGAGAGAGAGAGAGAGAGAGAAGGAAGCAATGGTTTGGAAATCTATGGCCTTCTCACTCTGACACTCATACTCTTCTCTCCCCCACCCCGCCCCCCATCTATGCACATGTGCATAGGCTAACACACCTCCCACTTCCTCTCCATTCATGTCCTTGTCCTCAGCTTCAGACTCCTATGACATCTCATAAAAAGAGGGGTAAGAAAGGTAGCCTCAATTCCATCACACCCAATACTGAGTGATAAAACCAAGGTACAGCACAGTCCAAAGGTACAAAATTAAAAACTGTATGAGTCTTGGTTTCTTACCATCCTGTTTCTAGATGGAGGGATTTATGAATTCATTCCATTGTTTAATCCCTCAATCTGACAATAATGTTCAACAAGTAACAGAAGAATGCATACAACTGAAAATCTAACATAATTTTAACTGCTTAATGACTAATGATGAGGGAATCAAAGCTGCTGACATGAGAATGAAATTTCTAAAAGCCCCACTTTTTCTGTAATAACTTATTTTGAATGCAGAACTCTGGGGCAGGAGTGAAGGCCTGTGTTCTGAGCTGTAAACATGAGTGTTAATGACACTAACAGCAACTCAAATGTTTTATTTCCACATGTACTTATCAGACAAACAGGTATTCATATCCCTTAGTTAAATCAGAGGGACATTGTTGTCTAAAATATCTTGAAACTTCAAACACACACTTTTTAATGTTCACATTCGCTTTCTTCAATTACCTTCAAAAGATCTTGTGACATCAAGGGCAGGATTAGGTTGACTCCATATAAAACAACATCCGCGGCTGACACAGACCTGCTTGCTGCTTGCCCCGGCTCATGTCCCCTAAACACTTCATCTATAAACAGAAACCATGCAGTCTTACAGCCATAACATCAATAAATCTGCAAAGTTGGATACATTCTACCCTTAAGAAATAAAAACAGGTTTGAATATTAAGCCACAATAAATCTGACTGGATAGCAGGACACCTGGTAAGCTTGCCTCGGTCACCCTTCTGTATTTCACTGTTTAGGATCTCAACGTACTATATACAGATGGTATTCTGTGTTTACATCAAATATTACTATTCAATAATAAAGGAAAACTGCCAGGCAGGTGTGGTTCAGTGGTTGAATGTCGATCTATGAACTAGGAGGTCAAACTTTGATTCTGGCTCAGGGCACATGCCCAGTTGTGGGTTTGAGCCCCAGTGTGGGGTGTGCAGAAAAGAGCAGATTAATGATTCTCTCTCATCACTGATGTTTCTACTGCTCTCTCCTTCCTTCCTCTCTGAAATCAATAAAAAATATATTTAATATAATAAGAGAAAACTAATGCTTAATCAATGTTGTGAAAAATAAATCTACCCTATTAACACACTAGTCAAACTATGAGTTAATTAATTTCCACAATAATATCTATTTTATCTCTTAGATGTGTGGAACTTTTTTAGTTGAAAAGAAATGGGGGACAATATAGAAATTAACATGTCACATAAAAGAGAAAGTCGTTTTTTAAAAAAAGAGTCACGAGAATGAAGAGTTTATTAACCTTAATCCATGCCTATAAATTAATAGGAATCATAAGACTTAAATAGATAAGCGAGCAAAGTCCATAAACAAACATCTAACAAAACTACCAATCCAATGAAAAATAGTTCTAATCAAGCAATGTAAATTTTTTTTTTTTAAATCTCTCACCCAAGGATATTTTCTCCACTGATCTCCAGAAAGAGCGTGGGAGGGAGGGAGAAAGGAAAGGAGGGAAAAAAGAGAAAGAAACATAGGCATGAGAGACACATCAACTGGTTGCCTTCTGCACATGCCCCAACTGGGACCAGGGATTGAACCTGCAACCAAATGTGCCCTTGACAGGGAATTAAACTCTTGGCCCTTTGATCCAAAGGCTGATGCTCTCACCACTGAAAAACTGGCCAGGGCTAAAGTTATTATTTGATTCATTAAATTCAAGATGTATTTTTGTTGTTGTTGTTAATCCTTACCAGAGGAAATTTTTCCATTGATGTTTAGAGAGAGTGGAAGGGAGAGACAAAGACAGAGAGAAACATCAATGTGAGAGAGATATATTGATTAGTTGCCTACTGCACGCACCCCAACCAGGGCAGAAATGAAGCCAGGACCTTTTAATCTGCAAACCAATGCTCTATCCACTGAGACAAACTGGCTAGGGCTGAAGATGACTTTTAAAGAATAATATTTACATGTTGGTCAGGATATAGTGTGACAGTTACCCATAAGAGTTATATAGTAAACACCTTCAGAGCACTGTACATACTAAAAGACAATCAAATTCTGACAGAGACTCGCCCACAGAAATGATTGCTGCATCTCTATTTATAATAACAAAATCATAAATGTTTCAGATGTCCAATATTAGTGAAACTGATTAAATTCCCAAAAGTGGAAAACCACTTAGCCATCAGTCATAAAAAAATTCTTAATGACGAAAAAAAGGCCAAGAATACATTAATAAAAAGGGCAGAATATAATGCCCAGCCAGTGTGGTTCAGTGGTTGAGTGTTGAGCCATGAACCAGGAAATCACAGTTCGATTCCCAGTCAGGGCACATGCTTGGGTTGTGGGCTCCATCCCTAGTGTGGGGCATGCAGGAGGCAGCTAATCAGTAATTCTCTCCCATCATTTGTTTCTATCTCTCTTCTTTGAAATCAATAAAAGTATATTTTTCTATTAAGAACATATTACTTTAGAAAAAGGGGGAAAAAGATAAAATGGAGTAAGTAAAAAAGCAATTCTACTTAAAAACCACCTAATTCTGAACTTCTCCACAGGGGTCTCAGTTCCATTTGGAAGAATCCGATCTTCCAAAGCAAGGCATGCAAACCTGAGGTCTGTCTGGGCCGTGAGGCTGTTCTGGCCCTGCCCGAAGGCTTCCCTGACAAAACAGGCTCTCTCCGTGGAGGCTGGGACCTGGGGCATGATGGGAACAGCTCTCCAGTCACTAGCTCTGCTAAGAATTTGAGAATGGAGAACAAAGCTACACTGCCAGTTATGCATTTAATAGCCACCTAGCATGTTAATTTCATTTCATAATACTTAAAATATTTTGTTTTTACTCACCTATTAGCTTCATTTTAAAAATAATGAATTAAAAATACTATCTTCCTTTTTACCACTAATTTAAATAGTTAATGCTGTTCCTTTATCATTTTTCTATTTTAACTGTCTTCATTTTTCTATCATCTAAACTTCAATCCTATTTACCCTTATTTTATTCTTTACCCCCTTACTTTGCACATTCAATCCTGAGGATTTTAATCTCAATTTCTTTTCTTAATGTTTTAACAGCTCTCCCTCCCTCCCTTTCTTCTTCTTTTAAAAAAAATATATTTTATTGATTTTTTTTGCAGAGAGGAAGGGAGAATAGAGAGTCAAAAACATTGATAAGAGAGAGAAACATCAACCAGCTGCCTCCTGCAGACCTCCTACTGGGGATGTACAAGCAACCATGGTGCATGCCCTTGACCGGAATAGAACCTGGGACCCTTTACTCTGCAGGCTGATGCTCTATCTACTGAGCCAAACAGGTTAAGGCAAGTTCTCCCTCCCTTTCAATGCCAGTTCTCATTTTTTAGTCAAATTACTCAGGGTACCAGGCTCTGATAGGATACTTACATCCTGGAAAGTCTACAGAAAAGTTTCCAAGAACCCACCAATCAACAGATACAGTGTGTGAAACTGCAGGTTGGTATAAAACTACTTTTCAAGGAAAAGGCTCAGTAACTACTTCAGGATTTAAAGGCTCACGCCCTAGAAAAGGTTGAGAATTCCTGAATTAAGGATCTAAAGAAATCAGAAAGCATGGGAATAACACTCGTGTAAGAGACGGGCCTGGCACCTGGCAGGGTGGCCATTTCGGCTTTGGTATAGGAAGGAAGCACTGCGGGGAGATGGGACAGGGCCTTGAAAACAGTTTCACCTGGGGGTTCATGAGTCCACAGACACCGAAAAGAACTGTTTTCCAGTGACTAAGGAAACAGAGAAAGAACAAGCTCAAGTATGGGGCATAATAAGGAAGGTGGAAAGTTATAGCACCCAGCTCAAAAAGATAATTTTATAAGGAAAAAGTGTCCACAACAATAAATATCTGCAGAACATAAAAGGAGATGCTCAACAGGATAGTTTTCTCACAGAAAGCAAGGTTTCTTTTGTGTTAAGGGAAGGCGGGCCGTGAGGTAGGAGAGAGATAAGAGAACACTCTACAAAATACGTAAGGTTTCAATTACTGGTGAAGTTCTCACCTGTAATAATTCCTGGCTGCCAGGCACCAACCTAAGGACCAGAGACTTCTAAGCTCATCCATGAACACTCTACACTCTAAAGGGCATTTCTCAGCATACCCATTGGAAAGTTATTGGAAGGATGACTGACTTCCCAGGGTTCTGCTGTCCATGAGCCACTAAGTGGCTCTCCCAAGCATGGCCTGTGAGCTCCAGAGTTCAGCATTTCCCACCCCAACAAGAATTCCCAAGTCTCACTCCAGAAGGCTTTCCAGGGCAGCCACCTCAGGACACGGAGGGACCAGTCAGTAAAGCTGCACTCTGAAGTCTGATGCCAGGATGTGAATCTAGTCCTGCAATTTACTGCTCCACATCTGTGGGGAAGTGTTTCTGCAACTGTTTCTCATCCATAAAATGAATGTAGCAGTGGTACCTGCTTCACGCCATTTTGATAGGTATAGTACCTGGCATTTGGTAAGAACCTAACAGGTGGAAGATTTTACTATTCTTCTTACAAGAGGAAAGCCAAGCAAAAAAGACCAGGGGTTGCACCCTCACTGTAGTGACCAGAGATGACATTCTCATCTATTTTATAAACTGAACTTCCTCATAGGATTTTACTTAACAAAAATATCCTTTGCTTTAACAAATATAACAATAATAACAAAGCTTACACCCTACCTGTATCACTGAAGTCTATGAATTCTTTTGACAGAAGGTTTGTAAGAAGTTCCATAATAAGAAGTAGATCCTGGTATTGTTCCTCCTCGGCTGTGACATCCACTCTCTGCCGCCCCAAATTATTCTTAGAATATACTTGCAACAAAGTGAGGCAGGCTTCATATAAGTTCATCGCTTTGGACTAGAAGGAAAGCATGCAGAAATTAGATTACCAAAAAAATTTTAAAAACTATTAAATAAATTAAAAAATATAATCTAATAAAGTTACTTTAAATCCCAACGATCTCCAACGCTTCTTTTAAAGTATAGTAAAACATTAATAAAAATGAAAAAATACACACTTAGTCATACTTAAAATATTAACAATTTTCCAGCAATAAAATTTAATATCCTTTTTTTCCCCACTTGACTAGAGATGGAAAGACTATGGCAACAGAACTACTTTATTGCTGCTATTCAACTTCTTCACTGATTTTAATATTTAAAATTGTGTAACTTGCAAAAACACAGAGTACCAAACAGTGGTCTTAAAAATGAGAATGGCACTGTTATGCTCTCTCAATAATTTACCTGTGACTACATTTTTAATATTTTAAATATAACCTCAATTTCAAGTAAGTTCCTTTGATCTAGTAAAAACAAAAAAAAACACACAAAAAAACAAAAAAAACAAACAAACAAACAAAAAAAGCCAGGAGCCCATATTAAATGATTTGGACAAAATTAAGCTAATATGCTGCTAACAAGTACAAATATATGTTTAAGGCTGTTTTTAAAAAGCTTTCTAACCGAAACCGGTTTGGCTCAGTGGTAGAGCGTCGGTCTGCAGACTGAAAGGTCCCGGGTTCGATTCCGGTCAGGGGCATGTACGTTGGTTGCGGGCACATCCCCAGTAGGGGGTGTGCAAGAGGCAGCTGGTCGATGTTTCTCTCTCATTGACATTTCTAGCTCTCTGTCTCTCTCCCTTCCTCTCTGTAAAAATCAATAAAATATATTTAAAAAAAATTTTTTTTCTAGATAATTTAATGGAACAAAACATGCATCTTTGCTTACTAAATATAAAAAGACTTAGTGTGTAAACACTTATCTGACATATAAAACAGATATACAAACTGCCATTAAAATTTTTAGGCTTGCCCTAACTGGTTTGGCTCAGTGGATAGAGCGTTGGTCTGTGGACTGAAGGGTCCCAGGTTCAGTCCTGGTCAAGGGCATGTATCTTGGTTGCAGGGACATCCCCAGTAGAGGGTGTGCAAGAGGCAGCTGATCTATATTTCTCTCTCATCGATGTTTCTAACTCTCCACCCCTCCCCCTTTCTCTCTGTAAAAAGTCAATTAAATATATATATTTTTTAAAATTTAGGCTTTCCCTGTGGCTCAGTGTTGAGCATAAAACCTATGAACCAGGAGGTCAATCAAGGTTCAATTCCCGGTCAGGGCACATTCCTGGATTGTGGACTTGATCCCCAGGGGGTGGTGTGCAGAAAACAGCCAATCATTGATTCTCTTTTATTGTTGATGATTCTCTCTCTCTCCCTCTCCCTTCCTCCCTGAAATCAATTTAAAAAAATATTAAGAAAAAAGAAAACCCTTAAAAACAAAACTTAGGCCTTAGCGTTCTACCACAGAGAAATAATCAAAGTTCTCTATCATAATTCATTTGATTTACCAAATATTAATATTCCTCATTTGAATTATTTGATTTAATAACATATTAGCCCAAAGAAATTACTGATTACATGTATTTAGGGCAAGCATATTCATACAACATGCCATACTCTGAATTCTAATTTCTTTTGAAAACAGTATTTTGAAAAACTTTTCGGAGGCATAAAAGCACTTCTGATAATATTCATTAAATTTGAAGGTATTGCAAATACCTATTATTTTGTTACCAGTGGCCTGGTGTATGAAATTCGTGCACATTAAAAGGGGATTAATTAGAGGAAATATTTTAATATTATAATTTCCCCTTAATCTATAATAGAAGTGTCAGAGATTAAAGAAAATTAGTAAAATGTATATGAAAATCTTCTGTCAGAGTCTGGGACACACCAAGGGACCCAGAGTCAAGTTCCCGCCCATTCACGTGCACTCAAAATCACGCAAGACCCAGACCCAGCCATCCCAGACCTCCACACTGGGCTAGATCCAGACCCGGCTGGTCAAGCCCCTCCGGTGGGGAGCACAGCCTCAGGTACCCTGGCCCAGCACTGGGGAAGGGGCACACCCTGAAGTCTCCGTCAAGCCCCTCTGGGTCGGAGGTTGTGGCCTGAGGTGCCCCGGCCCAGCACCAGGGAGAAGGGTGCGGTCTAAGGTTCTGTGGCTTGGCGCTGGGGTGAGGGTTGTAGCCTGAGGTCCCCAGCCTGGAGCCAGGGTGGGAGCAGCCTGATATTCTCCAGCCCAGCACTGGGATGGGTGTGCGCATCGTGAGGTCCTGCGTCAATCTCCGCCGGATGGGGGGCAAAACCTCAGGTTCCCTGGCTTGGTATGGGGTGGGGGCCGCAGCCTAAGGTCTCGTCAAATCCCATAGTGGTGAGAGATGGGGGCGCAGTGTCAGGTCCCTGCTGATCGCTTTTTAAGGCTCGTTAGGGAAACTCGGCCTCCACTGTGGGTGCAGCCATCTTGTGTTACAAAAATCCTGCCTCCACTGTGGGCGCCATCATCTTTGTGGCGGAGTGATGGTCGATATGCATATTCCTTCTTTATTATATTGATACACTGGCCATTATGATCTCTGAAAGCATAATAATCTGACCACTCTGTGTGTGTGCGTGTGCGTGTGCGTGTGTGTGTGTGTGTATGTATGTATATATGTATATGTATGACACCTGGTGCATGAATTCATGCATGGGTGGGTCCGGCCAGCCTGGCCAGGGGGAGGGGACCAGGTGGTTGGCCGGCCTGGCTGCTGGTTGAGGGGGCAATTTACATATTAGATCATAATAATCTGGCCACTCAATGTATATGATAGCTTTAAGGAGTTTTAAGCCTAAAGGGATAAAATTAGAAAGCACTCACCTCTCCAAGATAGCATATCTGTTTATGTGCAACCTCAACAAAAACTTCTATTATGAGATTGACAGTCTCGGGAGTATTTTTGTAAACTTCCATCAATCCAATGCAATTGGTAAGGAAGTCCATTAAGAAATTAAAAAGGATTGCCACGTTGTCAATCTGAGTAGCCTCGGCAATGCCACATAGGGCCTCTAGGGTGGCAGTGATTTCCTGCTTGACCTCCTCTTGCTGACACATCTGCTGAAAGTTTTCCTGATTTATCACCCTTAAGAATCGCTGCTGCAACGGCTGAAGAACCTATAAAAATAAAGCAAGGATTTTCTAAAAGCCTATCTTATTTTTTTCTTTATCTTTATTTCTTCCACTAAGAAAAACAGTCACTTTCCAAAACATTTTTAACCGCTGGAGGTAGAAAAAGCACAGAAAACAAAGAATTCTGAACCATACATGATATTCCCCATTTTGAGGATCATCACAACTTCTGCGTGAAGTAGACATTAGCTCACACCTGTTAGAATGGCTGTTATAAAAAAGACAAGAGATAAAAGCTGGTGACGACATGGAAAAAAGGGAACCCTCCTACAATGCTGATAACTTTGTAAACTGGTGCAGCCACTGTGGAAAATAATATGGAGGTTTCTCAAAAAATTAAAAATAGAACTACCATATGACACAGCAATTCCACTTTTGGGTACATATTCAGAGGAAATGAAAACACTAATTTGAAAAGATATCTGCACCCACATGTCCATAGCAGCATTATGTACAATAGCCAAGACATGTAAACAGTCTAACTTTAAATGTCCATTGATGGATGATGGATAAAGAATTCTGTGGTGTATATACATGATGGAATACTATTCGGCCATAAAAACAAACAAACAAACAAACAAAAAACACCCAAAAATATTCTCTATTGAAACAACATGAATGGACCCTGAAGGCATTATACCATGGGAAATAAGAGAAAAACAAACATTGAATGATTTAAATTATAAGTGGGATTACTAAAAAAACACCAACTCACAGAAAAACTTTTGTCGTTTCCAACAATAGGCGTGAGGGAATGGGGGTTTGAAGAAAGGTGGTCAAAAAGTACAAATTCTCAATTATAAAATAAATATAAGCACTACGGATGTGATATACCATCAGTCACCAGCTTTTTGGACCTCATGGGTTGGCAACCACTGTGATATACAACATGATGACTATATATCACATAGAAATGCTGTTATGAGAATAAATACCAAAAGTTATCACAAGGAAATTTTTCTCTTTTTTTTTGTATCTATATGAGATGATGGATAACTGAACTTATTTCACATTGTAGATAAGTCAACCCATTATACTGTACACCTTAAACTTATACAGTAATGTATGTCAATTATATCTCAATATAGCAAAAATTGTAATTCATGGGAAAATATATGTGCATGCTATCATCTCTTTCTCTCTCCTTAAAGCTAAATTATTTCCTTAAGTAATTTAGCTTTAAAGAGAGAGAGAGAGAGAAAGGAAAACTCACAGAACAACAACTTCAATGCCATCCACAAAATTCAACCACTATCCTCATCTCTTTCCAATAAAACAACAAACCTCAGAATAGAAACTGACACTATGTTCTACAGGAATAGGCAAAAGTAATTTTACAGTTTGAGTACACAAAACAGAGTTTATTTTTATATTATCACTAGTGGCCTGGTGCACAAAATCCATGGGGGGTTTCCTCAGCCCAGCCTGCATCCTCTCCAATCAGGGATCCCTTGGGAGACATCCCTTTCACAATCTGGGACCGCTGGCTCCTAACTACTCATCTGCTTGCTTGCCTGATCGCACCTAACTACCTCTGCCTGGCCGCCTGATCGCCCCTGACCCATCTGCCTGCCTGCCCAATCTCCCCTAACTGCCCTTCCCTGTTGGCCTGATCTTGCCCCCAACTGCCCTCATCTACTAGCCAATTTGGTTCTGATTAGTCAGTTTCTATGCCAGCCAGTGTCAAAAGCTTCACCTCCTAGGCAGTCATTTTCTACTCACACTTCACCCAGATTTGGTTCTGATTGGTCGGTTTCTATGCCAGTCAGCATCTCTGGGCCTATCAACAGGTCCTGATCAGAAAGGCGGGTCTGATCAGCAGCCCAGGTGGAGGCCTGGAAAGAGAGAGGCAAGTGCTGATCAAAAGCTGCCACAGAGGCAACAGATCAGTCCCTGCTTCTCTCTTCAGGCCTCTCTCTGGCCCTGGTTCAGCAGTCAATGCGGGGCACCATGCCTGCAGCAGAAGCAGTCAGTGCTGATGCAGGACTGATGTCCGGTTGGGAGAGCCTTGGTTACTGGTCATTATGACCCAGAGATTTTATATATTAGGATTTATTAATTATTGTATTATTTTTCATATGAACAACTATAAACCTACTTTTGCCCCACCCTGTATAAAGGCCTATTTTAGACTGGGCAGGATATGCTACCTCTTGCCCAACTACTCCATCACAACTATGCTGTCATTCAGACACAGCGATGGACAACATGTAAACAACTAAGAGTAATTGTATTTCAATACAACTTTGTAGGAACAGATAGCATGCTAGATTTGGTCTGTGTGCTACAGTTTTCCAACTTCTGTTCTACAGGGTTAAGCCCAATAAAAACACCTCCCTGCTTTTCTCCTTTTCAATTCCTCATAGCATAGAACATAACTATGGATACTCAGTCATACCCTAAGTATCAGAGTCAATAGACATATTCATGAAGGTAATACCTTAATTCTATTTAAAGCTGTATTTATAACAACACAATTATTTCAACTAAAATACATGGTCAGCCTGGTTTTTCTAGTTCTAAAGTTACAACTTGCTAATGTCTGCCCCTTTTAGTCTCAATTGATAACTTACATACAATGATAAGGCTTGGCTCCCAATTTAAAGCTTATTATGTGAGGCAATGTCCATGGTGGCTACTATGAGTTGAATTATGTCCCTGCAAAATTGGTGTGTTGAAGTCCAAATCGGGAGAAACTCAGAACATGGCCTTAAAGAAATAGGGCTATTTTCAGATACAATTAGTTAAATTAAGATTAGGTCATTAGCACAGACCCCCTAATCCATTACAACTGATGTCCTTATAAAAAGGGGAGATTTGAACACAGGCAAGCAAACATGGAGATTTTCATGTGAAGATAAAGACAGGTGTTGGAGTGGTGTGTCAACAAGACAAAGAATGCTGAAGATTGCCAGCCAAGCCCTGGAAGTAAAGAGAGGCGTGGACCACATGATCCCTCGCAGCCTCAGACATAACCAACCCTTGGACACCTGATCTCAAACTTCCTGCCTTCAGAACAGTGAAACAATGAATTTCTCTTGTTTAAGCAGCTAAGTTTGTGTTACTCTGTTATAGCAGCCTTAACAAACTAATACAATGGTTTATTCGTATCTCCTTGTTCAAAACAAAAAAACGTTTCACTGATTCTTAATGAAGAACTAATATACCACTTCAGATTCTCATTTGAGTTGGGGAGAAAAATATACCTAAGCTGCAGAACACTGCAGAATATTGATAATTAATATTCAATGTCATCACAAGCAGATACGAACAAATCATAAGATATTTACAAAATAATAAGCTTCAACCTATACATTAGAAGGGAAAAAATACAGAAAAGCAATGACCAATGTTTATATCTCCAGGGACTATTTTATGGCAATACATGGATAAAACAACAAAGTTCCACCAGAGGATGCTATCATTATCAGGGGAACTGTTACCTCAGTCCAATACTGTTGTTTGGTTTCTGTGTCCATCTGTGCAAAACCTCCCAGGACAAGGGCCTTCATCAGCGTCCTCTGCACCGGACTGGACAGAAAATTCAGAGGGGGGCTTCGGGTCGCAAACTGTTTAGCTAAATTCCACCAGTTTTCACACTGGATTACTAGGTTTGCCCTATGGGCAAAAACAACAAAAGAAAGATGTACCACTTAGACTGTACGTAAACTAAGTAAACAAAATGGAAGGTGCCTGGATTTAATTAATTTTATTTATTTAATTTTACTGATTTTAGAGAAAGGAAGAGGGAGAGACAGAAATATCAATGGTGAGAGAGAATCATTGATCAGCTGCCTCTTGCACGCTTCCTACTGGGATCGAGCCCACACCCCAGGCATGTGCCCTGATTGGGAATTGAAGCATGGCCTCCTGGTTGATGGGTTGATGCTCAATCATTGAGCAACATTGGCCAGGCTAGATTTAATTGATTTTCAAGTAAATGGGGCATAGAATTTAGAGGCCCACAAGCTTGCATTCAAATTCCATTGGTAATCTGACAATGTAAAATGTATTTAACCTCTCTTATTAATTAGTTTCCTGATTGTAAAATAGGGATTACAATAGTAATAACAACCTTACATTTCATGGCTGAGATAGATGATGTGAATAAATGGGATACGTTTTTTTTCTTCTTTTTAAATGGGATATTTTATATGAAATGCTTGGAAAAGTACTTAGTATATTGTAAGAAATCAGTAAGTAGTAGCCAATGACAATAATAACTATATTCCTATGCAATAAGAAAAATGAAAATATTTCCAGAATCTGTTGTAGAAAGCAATTTTTAATTACTAAATTATCAGTTTTTCTCACCTTTATAATGGGATAATACCAATAGGATACCTAAAAAATCAAATGAAACTATTTTATAGTAAAGTTTTTTAAAACTTTAATGCATAAATAAATTACTAAATTAAATTATTATGGTATTCATAAGATACTTTCATAACGAATCCTGGAACAGTCAATGCAACCTTCACTTGTAACACAGGGAAACCCTATTTGCACTTGTAATAACATGACACTGTCTTTTAAACACACCGCTCCAAAAATGCAGGATCTACCTAGACCTGAGGACCAACTGTTTGTCATTTGCAAAGTAGACACTAAAAAGCAAGCTCATTAGACACAGACACATAGCCTGATTCTTACAATCAGCTTACCTTTCTCTTCTTTCCACCAAAGTGACAAGAAGCTGCACAGTGTCACTTGCAAGGTCCTGCTCACTACTCCACACCGAGAGATTGCTGATGACTTTCTGTAAGAGGTAGCCAATAATCCACTGAGAACCCTCAGTATCTGCTCCAAATGCTGTACTGAATGGTAGACTTATCTTAAAGAGAAAACCAATATTTTAGGTCAGAAAGAATGATCAGCTAAAAAAAAAAAAAAAAAAAAAAAATCCAAAGAAAAATCAAGCTGAAATCAGCATCTAAATATTAAGTGCTAAATAAAAATTCACATCATTTTATAAATGCATATCTGTAAATCCAAAAGAGACATCCTCAATCCACTTAATGTTTTCCAATATGATTTTTATTTTATTTTATTTTTTTATTCCAAGTTACAAAAGCAAGTCTGATCTCAATTTAGCTGCTCATTCACCCCAGACTTTGCCTTTTATGTAACACAATATCCTTGAAAGGCAAAGGGTCCAGGCTTTTCTTTCCATTCACAAGTTTGGAGTTCTTTTCCAATGTGATTTTTTAAAATGTATCTTAATTGCTGGAAGTATTAGCCAACGTGATTTTCCTGTTCACTTTAATTGTTGTTATTAACACACTAACATGATATTTACACAAATTCAAAGAACATAAGTTAATCCATTCTCAAACAGTAATCTATAATTTAATATTAAAGTACACTGAATTAAAGGATGTGCTGTAAGAAAAGTTATTAAAATAGCATGCCATTAATGCAGTTCTCTTCAATGTGGAAAATGTTCAGCTCTTAGTCACATTTTAATGATAAAATCTCCAAGAAAATGTTCTCATTTCTATAATTGCCACAATCATAAATCCAGATGAAGTTAAATAGTTTTATATTCTGACCTGATCATATAGCTTCTCATCCACCAGGAGATAAGTCTTTGCCCAGCGTTTTAGAAACCAAACAATATCTTTGCCCATTTGAGGGCTTAGCAGATCAGTGAGATCTGCTCTTATTGCTCGAGACTCAACTTCCGAAACTCTGAGAACGGCAGATAACAGCCTATGGGTAGAAAAAGAAGTCATTATTCTTCGTTTATTAGTTAATTTTTTCATAAAAGTCCTTTTTTTGTTTCCCAACTCTCTGGATTTAGGCCAGGTTATACTTGAAATTTTCATTAATAAGGCTGTAGACAAATGTCCTACTTTGTTGCTGATCTTTCAGAAAGCAGCAATCAAGACAAAGAAATGGAGAGGAGTTGTACCTGCATTACTATATACAGAAATTTTTCAGATTCAGAATGGAGAAATACATAAAATTAAAAGTTCAAAGTAGCCTTGGCCAGTGTGACTCAATTGGCTGAGCATTGTCCTGTATACTAAAAGGTTGCCAGTTCGATTCCCCATCAGGGCACATGCCTGAGTTTTGGTTGCCAATCAGTAGGCAACTGATGGATGTTGCTCTCTCAAAAGAATATTTTTCTTTCCCTTTCCCTCTCAAGTCAATAAAAACATATACAATAAAATAAAATAAAATAAAATAATAAAGTAAAATTTCAGAGTAAATGCTAACATTTTCGGCATACCATCACTACTTAACAATGTCATGATTAGCATTGATCATTTTATGGTGCAGGGTCTGATAATAGGCTTATCCAGAATATTTTGAATATTGAGTCCTGTCTTTAAATCTGATAGTCCTGCCCCAACCAGATGGCTCAACTGGTTGGAGTATCATTCTGTTCATCAAAAAGACTGCAAGTTCGATTCCTGGTCAGGGCACATACCTAGGTTGCAGGTGTGATCCCCAGTAGATATGCTTAAGGGAGGCAACCAACCAATGTCTGTCTGTCTGTCTGTCTCTCTCTGACTCTCTGTCTGTCTCTCTGTCTCTGTCTCTGTCTCTCCTCTCTCCCTCTCTCTCCTCCCCCCCCCTTTTCCTCCCCTCCCTCTTTGTCCCTCTCCTCCCCCCATCTCCCACTCTCTTACAAACACAAACATGCTTATCCTTGGATGAGGATTTAAAAAAATCTGGCCGAAACCGGTTTGGCTCAGTGGATAGAGCATTGGCCTGCGGACTGAAGGGTCCTGGGTTTGTTTCCGGTCAAGGGCATGTACCTTGGTTGCGGGCACATCCCCAGTGGGGGGTATGCAGGAGGCAGTTGTTCAATGATTCTCTCTCATCAGTGTCTCTCTCTATCCCTCTCTCTTACTCTCTGTAAAAAAATCAATTAAAAAAAATATATATTTTTAAAAATTCTGATAGTCTTATTCATTTCCTATCAAACTTGATTCTTAATGTTATTATAAAATTAAAATCTTACTAGAAAAATCACGTACATGGTGTATGCAATGTCCTTTCCTATACTACATAACTCACAACACAGCATGACGTGCAGATAAATAAAAAAAGCATTTGTTTCAGGATGGGATTAGCAGAACACATAACTAGACATGATATATATTTAACTTGCCTTTAGTTAAATGGCAAAGAAGCAAAGATTTAATTGAAAGAACCCATTACTATACCATTTTGTGGTATCAGTGTTAAGAAAGGGGTATTAATCACAGGAAGTCTGGCCATTACTTCCTACTACTCTCAAGATAACTGAACTGTATTTCTGTGATGAAATCAGACATTTCAGTTCTTTATCCAGCTCAATGCCCCAGAAATACTAGCTACTACTGACCACTCTGCCCTTCTGAAATGTCTTCCCTTGTTCCATACTTTACTTATTTCCCCTAATTTGTTTCTTACTCTTCCTCAGGTTATGACTTCCTCTTCTCCTCTGATGCCCTTCTTCTTTTAAACAGTTGGTTTCTAAGGTTCTGTCCCTAGAACCTCTTCTTTTTCACTATATACTACCTGCACCATCAGTGTTCAAACTTTAAAAAAATTATTTTAGGGTGTACGTAAACAATAATATCATGACAACTTCACAATACATTAAAATTTTCCTATAACGATAAATAGTTTTGGTGAGATAGAATTTGATGTTTTAAAGAAGCTGTTCTTCTCTAAAATAAAGAAATCTCATTAAGACATCTAGAATTTTTTTAATTTTCAGCCTAATAGAATCTGAAATAGCTGGAGTAGCCATTTAAATTTATGCACTGGAATTTAATTACCATACTCACCACCATCCATTTGAAAAATAAACAAGTTTTTAACAGTTGGACACTTTACATTGTTTCTTTAACTCCTTAAATTTTTATTTCATTCCCCTGCAAATTATTATCCTAATAAATTTTCTATTTATTTTATTAATCACACAATATGCTTCTCTGAAACAAATGTCTAGCTACTAAATATAATTTTATATAATTTCCAATGATCATAAGACTTTTAAAGTGTCTTCTGTATTGAGTTATTACAATACTTAGTAGTCCACAATTGCACAAAATATCAAATACACATTTAAGTTATTAAACATAAATATGTTTAAATGAGATTAATGTAGCAGGGTTTTATTTTTCAAAATAAGTTTATGCACCTGTTAAAAAATATTTCTTACTACTAGAATGAGACAGAGTTGAATATAATTCGGCTCTTGTTTTGCATTTTAATAGATAAAAAGACTATTAAAACTCATTCATGTAAGGAAATTGAAGGCATTTTGAAAATAACAGGGCCCTAAATTATCTGAACTTGTTGCAAGTTATATGCCAAAAATCACTAGAGCTTTAGCACCAAAAACTATTTTTAATAACATCATAACTGACAGATTTATTAAGTCGTTCTTCAGTGTTATTTAAAGCAAAGGACTGGAAACCTCCTGACTTATAAAATTACTGGTTTACCATTATTCTAGTCACTCAATCCTAATACCACACTATGTGGAACTCTGTAGGTTTCTACACACCTGCCAACCCATCACAGTAAGACTTAGAATGAGGAAGAGTTTTGCCCATTTTTTGTAAAATGGGAGCAAAGTCAAGAAGAGTACCACAGGAAGATGAACTCTGGGCTCCGGAGCCTGTCCTCATCCCTGCCTTTCCTCACCGCTCTTAATCAACCCCAAAGTTCTCAAGAGCCGCCCCTGAAACACCTGCTGTCCATATGCCCTTTCCCCATCTTCACTCCACTAATGGAAATGCTTCCTAACTTACCAGCATCCTTTAAATCCAGCTTCTACGCTGCAACCTTCTAATAAAACAATCTGATTAGCTCACTTCCCTATTTCAAATCCTTTCAACACTTTTAATCCAACTTCATTGGCCCTCCCTATTCTCGACCTTCAAACACCTCTCCCCTCCTCTCACTTCTGGGCTCTTTGCTAGGTTGCTGTCAATGCCTGGAATACTATTCTCCTTCCTCTTTATGCTGCAAGTTCCCATCCATCCTCCAACTGTCAGTTTAAATGCCACTTCTTTTGAGGAGCCCTTCCCTTGGTCCTCCTACATTACTCTATCACCCATCTATCACATTCTCAAAGATAAAACAACTAAAAACATTACAATGTTGTTTTAGTTGTTGCTATCCCAAGATGGATGCCCTGGTCCTACTACAATTTCTTCAGTGTGCTATCTGAACATATTTTACATTTCAGACAGCATTCAGTATCCTAAATAACCCAGTCTTGGTATTATGGGAAATATGGGAATATTTTCTCAATTCATAAACCAGAAATCAGCACAGTTAGTCAAAGTCTCCCTGAATTCAGAATAACTATATGATTGTTCTCCTCAGTACGGGGCATGGCGGTCAATCTCACCAGAGTGGCAATGCTTAAACATACTGAGTACTTGCCGTCCTTGTTTATATCAAGGCTTCTCCAAGTTTTATCTTCTTTCATATATCAGATTCTTTAACTTCTCACAACCTTTATCATCACTCTGGTCTGGAATATCATTTTTCTCTGGATGACAGCAACTAGCATCGTCACTGATCTCCTGCTCCCACCTCTGCCCCAGGTAGTTTACCCTCCATGCAGCACGGTCACCTCTTCTGCTCAAAACCCTACATGAGCACCCATTCCAGTCAGATCAGAAAGTATAGAGGCTCAAAGACTACTGCTCCCCTTTAGTTTCCTTCTAACTCCATCTGCTATACAATTCTTTCTCACTCTGCTCCATCCAAAGTAGTGGTTCTAGCTGTTCTTGATGACTGCCTGTGGTGGGCCTCAGCATCTGCTGTTCACTGTTGCAATGTTCTTCCCAGCCTCCCTGGCCCCTCACCAACCTAAGCCTTGGCTCACGAGACACCTTCTAAAGAAAAGCCAACATTAACTCACTATTAAAATTTATAAACAGTCCCTGAGTCTGCACTCTTGATCCCCAACCCTGTTCAGCTTTTTACCACAGCGATGATGGTCTCCTAACATACAGCATAATTAACTGTCTCTCCCCTACAAGAAGCTTCAAAAGGGAAGCAATTTGTCTGTTTTGCTCACGAATGCATCCCAAATGCCTTGAACAGTGCCTGATATATTGGAGGTATTCAACTATTAGTCAAATAAAGTCAAGTGTAAATTAGTTTTTCAATCAAATCAAGGAATATTTCTCCTATATATCATTCAATTTCATATTAATTTTCTGGATTTAAAAAAAAAAGAATTTTTTTTAGTGGTTGTTCCATCTCTCACCTTCTCCCTCCATAGTTTATGCTCTCAGATACCAAAATGTTTTGCTTCTATAGTGATACCTGGGACTGGCAAAAATTGAAAAAGCACTAAAAATACAAGGAAAGCATTCCTGATGGTATTGCCCAGACAAAAAAATATGGTAGTACTGCTCAGGCAAAAAATATCATGTGACAGAATGTTGAAATGAACTGCCTTTGAATTTCTATTCACCAGGAATCAAACCAAAGCAAAAGCAATGATTTTCAGACACTTATCATTCTAAAAGGAACAGAGAAAACTTTTTCAATAGAGTTTTAATATTTTATTTTGAAGAAGAGACTATAACAATAAAGGAATAAATTCCCAAACATTTCCTTGACATTAGCTTATGAGTTCATTTCTATAAGATCATATTTTCTACTGCACAAGCTTAAGTGATATCCATTTATTTGGGCGTTAAGTAAAAAGAGTAAGGGGGACAGCACCCTGTGTGAGTTACTGGTTTTGCAACTGACAAAAACCAATGTTATTTCATTATCGACATTTCCGCCTGAAACCCAAATTCAAATAAATACACTGAAATTTATAATGCTGTTTACAAATTCACTTTTTGGAAGACATGTAGTTCAGCCTTATACCTCCTTAATGTCACCATTAAGAAGTAATGAAGCCGAGTAGATAGAGTGTTGGCCTGCGGACTGAACGGTCCCAGGTTCAATTCTAGTCAAGGGCATGTACCTTAGTTGCGGGCACATCCCCATAGGTGGGTGTGCAGGAGGCAGCTGATTGATGTTTCTCTCTCATGGATGTTTCTAACTCTCTATTGCTCTCCCTTCCTCTCTGTAAAAAATCAATAAAATATATTAAAAAAAAAAAAAAAAAAAAAAGAAGTAATGAAAAAGTTGCCATTACTACCCTGTTTCCCCAAAAATAAGACAGTGTCTTATATTAACTTTTTCTCCCAAAGTTGCGCTAGGTCTTATTTTCAGGGGATGTCTTACCTTTCCACGCGCTAGGTCTTATTTTCGGAGGATGTCTTATTTTTGGGGAAACACGGTATTAGAAAGATCAAAGTGAATCCTTTCATTTGAGGCACATAGTCTTTTACCTTCACTGGCAGGGCTTTCAAATTTTACATATTCAGGGTAAATATTTCTACTTTGTAAGATAACAACTTGTTTTCCTTAAGAAAGACACTAATGTACAGTTTTACTTTATGAACAATAAATACTTGTTAACCTTCATTGGATCTCTAATAATCTCATATTCTGTTTCTTGCATTTAGAGGGCCTGTCCCTGTATCAATGCTGCTTTCTGATGAATATAATCACAGTGCATTAGAGCAAATGTCCCCTCAAAGTCTCCCTGAATTCAGAATAACTATATGATTGTTCTCCTCAGTACGGGGCATGGCGGTCAATCTCACCAGAGTGGCAATGCTTAAACATACTGAGTACTTGCCGTCCTTGTTTATATCAAGGCTTCTCCAAGTTTTATCTTCTTTCATATATCAGATTTATAAGGTTATCTATCACTTGAGTCATCCACCCATCAACTCAGAACTTAATAAACAGTATAAATTACAAGAGCACAGCTATAGAGTTCATATTACCTAATCACAGAATCTGTTCTGTTGTACCCTGGGATGGAAGAAGCCTTTTCTCCTGGAGATCCCAAAATTTGAAGTGTTGTATTAATGTCAACTTCAGATGAATGCTTAATGGAATATTCCATTATTTCTGGAGGTATTAGCGGAGTCTCTCCCTGAGTATCATCAGCTAAGAGGTAGCCTTCAGTTTAAAAAAAATTAAAAATGAACACTTAACAAATCTACATTTATCAAATTGCACTATAAATGTTTTGTTTTATTTGATTTACATACATCATATAAATTGATGTAAATGTAAATTATAAATGTAATATGTTATATCAAGTTTGATGAGAAAAAACTTTCTATTTCTAGATAATTAACTAAAAAAAAAAACAAAACAGGAAAAACCAAAGGACAAGTGTTTTATTCAACAATTTTATCTCTATACTGACATGTAGGCCTTTTAATTTACTACCTTTTAATAATTTTCAGTAATATATTCTGTAAAGTTAGTAAGAATGCTACTATTATCTATATCAAAACTCAATATTTAGGGAAGCCTTTTAAAAATTAAGATTTTCCCTGATTATTTAAAATACAGAAACACTAACAGTATGGTTAAAGAAGAAGATTCTGAAAGTCAGACTGCCTAGATTTTCATACTGGCACCAAAAATTAATAGCAGTCTAACCATGGGCTAGTTCCTTACAACTCTTTAAGTCTCAGATTCTTCATTTATAAGAAGATAATAATAATGACAATAACAATAATACCAAAAAATAGTACCAATTCTGTGGGTTACAATGAGCTCTACATAAAATATTTGGTATGCAATTGGCACTGAATACGTTAGCATATATATATATATATATATATATATATATATATATATATATTTTTTTTTTTTTTTAAATGCATCTGTAGCTGTAACATAACAGTTGTTGACAAATTTCATCCAATACTATGTAGGGACTATTATTTCAAATACATAAAATTTATTTTTAAGGCTTAAACTGCTCAGCTGGCAATTACATTTTTAAAAAGAAATAACCAACCAACCTGTAACTAAAATAAGCCAGTGAATATCTTCATATAGCTCATCAAGTATTTTGCCGTCAATGGTGCTTGAACCAGGTGAAGCAAGTAACTGCTGCTGATGTCGCTGTAACTGACCATGGAGCCGTGTTACTCTTTCTTCTAATAAACTAAAAGAAGAAAAAAATAATAGTTTCATAAAGTTCAATAAGCAAAGATCTAGAATAACATAATTTCCATATATTAACATAAATTAAAATGTTGCACAAAAATATATATACAAAATTATTTATTATTATACACAACTGTTCTCACAGCACTACAGAACTGTGATTTATCATTTATAACAGAATTAAAGCCCTAACCGGTTTGGCTCAGTGGATAGAGCATCAGCCTGTGGACTGAAAGGTCCCAGGTTTGATTCTGGTCAAGGGCATGTACCTTGGTTATGGACACATCCCCAGAAGGGGGTGCGAGGAGGCATATGATCGATGTTTCTCTCTCATCGATGTTTCTAACTCCCTATCTCTCTCCATTCCTCTCTGTAAAAAATCAAGTAAAAAAAAAAAAAAAAAAAAAAAAACCCACACAGAATTAAAACAGGGCTTTAAAAATAATCAAGGTTTAAAACAGGCATTTGAAAACTAGATATCCCGAGTTTTTATTGACATGGTCAAATCATGTCTCAGACCATGTTTCCATAATCTGCCATCTATGCTGTAGTACCTGACTCTAATGTATAAGCAAATGACTGCAACTACAACTGTGTTTCTGTCCATTTGCTCCAGTGTGCATATGGAAAAGGGGTGTATAAAGTGCTCTCCAAGGAGGTGTAAGTACAGAGTATTTGCTCCATAGGTTCTCTAGCCTGTGTGCACCTTGTCAGAAGAGGTATACAGTGCTCTGCGGCAACTCTTCCTAGCATTCCTACACTGGCTAGTTGATCTGAAAACTGGTCTCGGTCATCCTCTTGAAGTTCACTTATTTCTTCTTCTTCACGAGAGGCCACACCATTGGCAGTCTGTTTTCAATGAGAGAAATAATGAGTAAAGAGCTGCATGTCCTCATCCCATAAGCCACGCATTTCTGTTGCATTATGAAATAACTTCCTAATTTCATGTAAGAAGGGAAGCTAGCCAGAGCTAACCTTCAGTCTAGCTGTCTACGGACCCCTATCTAACTGTGCTGACAGCCTTACAGTCACTCAATGAGGGGGAGGGGGCAAACACAGAGGAGAAAGAAGAGAAGGATATAAACCCACAGAACACATATGTAAACACAGTTAACTGCCCACTCACAAACCACCTTCCACACCATAGAATTTAACTTCTGTCATTAAGAAGATCTGACATCTTTAAGATCTACAATCTGTGTAAACACAGTTATTAATACCACTTGAAAACAAGGAAGACAAAAGAGGGTAACTGAAAATTGAAGAGAAAGGAAGTTAAACTACTAACCACATACCATAAAACATGGTGTATTTAGACAAGGGACCACTATAGCTCTCTAATGCTCTCAGCAAATATTCTGAAGAATTCAGTCCAAACTTCTAGCATTACATAATGTACAAGAGGATAAAAACCAACAAAATAGAGCATATACTGAAACAGATTTTTAATCACAATCTGGCTTAAAACTTACCAAATTCCTTGTGCCATCTGGAGCGGCCAGGTGGCACTGAATATAGGAATTGAAGACTTGAACTGCATGCTGGGTAAAAAAGCCTTTATGGAAATGTTTGTCATCTTGGACCAAAGTCAGCCAGGACTCCAGCAACTTGTCATATGCTTCCATGTAGACCATGTCATCTTTATCAAGCTAAGAGAAAAGAAGTTTTACAAAACACTGTCCAGAAACATATTTAACAAGAGTCAAATAGCTATACATATAGTTTTATAAGTTTTTCCTTTACTAAAGGTTCCCAACTATTACTCAAAATCTAGCTGAGTTCAATCTAAAATTAATCAATTCAAACATTGCAGTAAAAATGTGGAGGCTTTGAATTAAACTTTCTAAAATACAACTTGATCTAAATAAATCACAAAAAGGAACCAATGTTTATTTTTTTAAGAAGATTAGCTAGTTCAGTGTCTTTGTGGAATTTTTTTTCAAATGAAAATAATATGAACATTTTTCTGCAGTCAAAAGACCTGTTAGAATGAAAATATAAAATGTGTACTTACTACACACTTTTAAAGAATTTATTAAAAAGAAAGAATGAGCCCAGCAGGTGTGCTGTGGTTGAGCATGGACCTATGAACCAAGAGGTCATGGTTTCCCGGTCAGGGTATATAACCAGTCAGAAACCTGCAGGAGACAGCTGATCAATGATTCTCTCTCATCATTGATGTTTCTCTCTCTCCCATCCTCTCTGAAATCCATTTAAAAAAAAGTATATGTTTTAAAAAATGGAGAATGAGCCCTGGCCGGTTTTATTCAGTGGATAAAGTGTTAGCATGTGGACTGAAGGGTCCTGGATTTGATTCTGGTCAAAGGTAAGATACCTTGGTTGCAGGCTTGATCCCTAATCCTGGTCAGGGCATATGCAGGAGGCAACCAATCATTGTCTCTCTCTCACATCAATGTTTCTGTCTCTCCTCCTCCTTTCCACTCTCTCTAATGTAGAGTGATCACTAGCTTAATCAGCATACTTAAGAACTAGATGCCCGGTGCATGAATTTGTGCACAGAAAGGGAACAGCTGGCCCACCCCGATTAGGGCCAATTGAGCCTAAATCGGCAATTGAACATCCCTCTCACAAGCCAGGACTGCGGGCTCCTAACTGCTCACCTGCCTGCCTGCCTGATCGCCCCTAACCACCTCTGCCTGTTGGCCCCTACCTGTCCCCTCCTCATGCCGACCTGATGGCCCCCAACTGTTTTTCCCCTCACCCCCTTGCCAACCTGGTCACCCTCAATTGCCCCTGTGCCGGCTTGGTCACCCCATGCAGCCTGCTGTTCAACTGTCCATCTGGTTCGTGACAGCCCCTGGCTTTTTATATATTAAGATGATGTGGTGAGCCCAGCCAGTGCTTCTCATTGGTTTAGCATCAACTCAGGAACCAAGAGGTCACCGATTTGATTCCCACCAGTTTATAGGCTCAAGCCTCAGTAGAGGTGTGCAGGAGGCAGTCAATCACTGATTATCTCTCATTGATATTTCTCTCTCTTTCTCCCTTCATTGCTCTCTAAAATCAATAAAAACATTAAGGAAAAAAAAAAAGAAAAAAAAAAAAAAAGAATGTGGACCCTATCCAGTTTGGCTCAGTGGATATAGTATTGGCCTGTGGACAGAGGGTCCCGGGTTTGATTCCGGTCAAGGAAACGTACCTCAGCTGCAGGATCGAACTGGGAGGCAACTAATTGCTGTGTCTCTATCACACTGATATTTCTCTCTCTGTGTCTCTCCTCATCCTGCCCTTCCCTTCCATTCTCTCTAAAAATCGATGGGAAAATATCTTTGGGTGAGGATTAATAAAAAATAAACTTTCCCTCATAAAAAAAAATTGTGGGGAGAACTTCACAGACATTCCTTAACATTTTATAATTTTTTTTTTAAAAAGCAATAGGGTATACAGAGGAGTCTGAGGAAGATGTCGAGACCTTCCTACTTAATTAATAATCTAGGTATATAATCTGTGTATCAATTTCTTCATCACAAATTCACTAGATGACCATTCAATGATACTCAGAATTCTTAGTGTCAAGCACTATGCTTAGTGTAAAAAACAAACAAACAAACATAAATAATGTACCATTTATGCTTTTAAGCTTTGTCCAACTGGAAGAGTAAGAAACAAACAAAAAACACAATAAAGGCCATCATAAGCAGCAAACATAGATTTCCAGGTTATTTTGTAAAAACAGGCATCTCTCATTAATAGTTACAAATAAAGAGTCTTTGAATTATGTATATATTCACTCTTAAAAAGGTTTGCGCACAAACCACCATTTCTGACATTCTGTTAATATGTAATAAACCTAGAAATGCTAAAGGTCTAGAGACCTAATCTGTAACTTGCTTTTCTGGTTTCTTCAACAAATAGACTGGCCTAACCTACAAATGCAGAACTCTGGAACCTTCCTAAGAGAGTACTTTCGTCAGTTTGTGCATAACTCAAAAAAGAAAAACGCTGGAAGATCTACGTCAGGAAGTATTCCAGACTCATCTGGACCACCGAATACTACCACTAGCTCATGACTTCTAAGCATCAGGTAAACGGCTGCCAGTGAAAAGAAAAATGGTTATTTTCTGGGTTAAATAAGCCTACAAAAAAAATTTTTTTAAGTTATTTTTTGAAAATTTACTTAAGAATGAAGGGAAAATTAAGAGAACTTCAATAGATAATTTTAATAAGAATTTAAACATAGCAAACCCAATTTTTATTCGATATTTTCCTGGCCTTGAAACAGTTAGGGGCCATACAGTTTACCAGTATGTCACCAGTAGATTCTGCAATTTTCAGCAAAATCACGTACCACAACCAATATACCATAGGATAATTTTATGAAACAATATTTTTCGTGAACTTGCTATATACTGAAAACGGACATTCTTTTAATGTAACTGAACATAATCATCCTGTAAAAACTCCGTACTTATTATTTGTGGTATGTATATATCTATAAAATTGTTGCATATTCTGAATTAGTGAACACAGGGTTAAGAGTTCCTTCCATTTTTCACCAGGTACAGGTAAACAAATCAACACATCACCTTGTTTTGTGTTTGTTTATAGACACTCATTTAATATACATTGTTGATTCATAAACAATAAACTCATAGCCAGCAATGCTGTAATTCATGCATGAATGAAGCTTGTCTAATACCTGCATCTGTTCACATCACAGCCTCCTTTTTTTCTGGAACAGCCTTCAGCAAAATGCGGACAGGCATTTTAAAAAATGAAATCACTCAGTCACTGCATAAGAAAAACTTCAATATCTTATGACAAAAAAAGGGAATGGCCCATTTCATACAAAAATAATGTATCACTGGAGACCATGAAAGGACACTTGTTTGCAGTAAAAGGACTGAAACAGGAAGGCAGGGCAGCAAAAATGAAATTGCCTTATTAGACCTCAGGAGGGAACAAGTGAGCCAAACAATTTTTTTTAAAAATATATTTTATTGAGTTTTTTCAGAGAGGAAGAGAGAGGGATAGAGAGTTAGAAACATCGATGAGAGAGAGAATCATTGATCACCTGCCTCTTGCATACCCCCTACTGAGGATGTGCCCGCAACCAAGGTATATGCTCTTGACCAGAATCGAACCTGGGACCTTTCATTCTGCAGGCCGATGCTCTATCCACTGAGCCAAACCGGTTTTGGCCAAACGATTCTTATTATTCATCACTCTGTATGCACCTGCCTGTGAATGATGGTGAAGTGCTTCCATCTCTGATTTTGGAATTACAAATAGATTTTAGCAATGGGGCAAATTTGCAAATATGGAATCTGCAAAATATGAGGATTAATTATACTTGTCTCTAATAGGTTCTGATTGCTGGTGCTTTTTGCTCATGCATCATCAACATGCATTACCCTTTTGAAAACTTAGATAGCTTACAATTTTCTTGAAGCACAGTCAAGTTCTTGGGTCCATAAATTCGATAACATATTTATTAAGATATATAAATACAAATGAAAAGGATCAATTCAACCAATTTTTTCATTTCTATCTAATGTTTTCTTCTAACCACTGTGCATACTGCTATTAGAACTAATCCAATTATAAAAAGTAGTAAGTAGATTTTGTTGCATAAATATAAAAAATAAATAAGCACTGTCAACATCCTTTAGCAAAATATGATGGTCCAGCCCTGACCTGCATGACTCAATGGTTAGAGTGTTGGCCTGCGTATCAGAGGGTCACAGGTTCAATCCTCAGTCAACTGCACATACCTGGGTTGCAGGTTCAATCCCCAGCCATGGTCCAGGCTTGTGTTGGAAGCAACCGATCTGTGTGTGTGTGTGTGTGTGTGTGTGTGTGTGTGTGTGTGTGTGTGTCTCCCCGCTCCCCTCCCTTCTACGCTGTCTAAAAATCGATTGCCAGGGACGGGACGGGACGGGGGGGGGGGGGGGGGGGGGGGGGGGGGACGGGACCTATATCCTCGAGTAAGGATTTAAAAATTGAAAATAAGTTAAGTAAATAAGTAAATAAATAAAATGTAATAGTCCACATTCTTGTCACCAAGTATTGAATGAAGTTTCCATGTGCTATGACAATGCCATATTTTCTTTTGGCTTTGGAAATATACTGTTTGCTTATGAATTCTTAGTGATAATTTAGGGTACAATCAGGTAGAACTCAGATTTCACTTATACTATCATTGTCACCATCATTAAAGAGCCCACAGTGCTGCTATCTCTTTACATTCATTTTCTGATTTATTTTTCTCACAGTGAAATATCTTATTCTGGCAAAGTTCTTTTACTCTGAGCAGAAAATGAAAAATTCTGAATTCCATAGAATGGAATTCAATGAAACTTAAAAAAAAAAAAGAGAGAGAGACTAAAAGGTATCATCTCCAGACTTCCTTTTATAGCTTCTTGAAAGATCATGCCATACTTTGGAAAATGTAGTTCAAAAGCTGAAAGTAACGAATAGCTGTTTATTTAATGGTAGTGACTGAGTTCACTAAAATCATCCTTTTAGATGATTTCATCATTCTTTTACTTCTTATTATTTTAGACTTTTTAAAAATTATAGCTGAGAATTGATGAGTAATTGTGAAATACTCCTGACGTAATAAAACAGCCAAATATTTCAAGATCCAGGAGAAATCAGATCATTAAGATCCATAATGTATTTTAGA